TTGAAGTTGTGCTCTAAATTCTTTTGATTTTTGTGTTAGTTTGTTTTATAAAGCAATCTAAATAGAAATGTGAGCAGGATAGTATTTTTTTTAGGGTTTAGATGTAAAATATATATATGCTAATTCTGTTGGGTTTTATTTTGATGGGGATTTATGGGGCTTAATTTTTATTTAATACCGGGATTATCTATACAGCACCGGGAATTAGCGCTTCACCATCGGAAGACAATATGCGATATTTCAATGTGATGATCCTTGGCCCAACACAATCTCCTTATGAAGGTATAAATTACTGGACTGCATTATTTTTATACTAAATTACTGGACTGCATTATTTTTATACTACATGCATATGTAAGAAATTCAATCTTGTTTGGTTATTATTGTTGCAAGTCTTTTTCTTTTTTCAAGAAAATTTTGGGGAAAACATCAGAAGTGTTTATTTTGTTTTCCATGTGATATATTCATAATTGAGACAACAAGAGCATTAGTTCTTTTGTTTTGTGCACATCCATTTGTAAGTGTGAGCTTTATTTTGGGAGTAAAAGCCTGATGGTAACTTTGATTTGGGGAATGTTTTTAATTTAATCAACAAATTCATGTATCAGAATGATGACTTATGGTGCTTAGCGATGAATAGTCCTACCTCACTTGAAATGTAGTGATCTGCATTACTGGATGTTTGTATTCATTCATATTGTTTCCGGAGAAAGTTGGCTGGAAACAAATTATTGAAGTCGTTGTCTGCTAAAGTTAGATTTAATGAGAATGACTGAGGAGGTGGGAGCATTCCATTAACTCTATAGTGGTTTGTGATCACCGAAGGTTGTCTATTTTTGTGATTTGTTCTTACTCTTGTGTAGTAAAGGAGTATCAGGTCCATATTTCAATATTTTAATGTGACAATGTAGCCCCCAGGAATAATGTTGTGTTGAAGGGCATGATCAACTCTCCCTTGATTTTCGAATGGAAGTATGTATATGAAGCAAACCATCAATGAAGGACTGCAGCTTCTACCATGTCTTTGGAGCAAGTAGTCAGTCTAGTGACATTGCCTAAGTGTGAACACTTGTTTTGGTTATTGGAATAGCCGGTAGTTTTTCTTGAGAGCCTTAACACTTTGCAAGGGATAAGTAGAGAATTGGAGAAAACATGATATCTATTGAAGATAATAAAATTGATTTTCCTGTTAGTGATTTTTGCAATATTCAGAAAGACTGAGTGCAGGCTAATTGAGGACTAGTGCGAGATCGTGCTACTCAGAAAGGCAGGCTAATTGAGGAGATATTGTAGCAATCATCCCCATACTCGAGGAGAGCTATATCTCACCTTGAGAAATCTGTTTTTCGCTTGTACTGTCAGAAAAGTGCAGTCCGTTTCTCTAGCACCTGTCTATCTTTGTGAGTTCGTTGGCCTGTTAGAGGTGTATGACATTCATGTGACGCAACTGTGTCAAATCATGGACAGTGAACCAGGTCCTAGATTAATGATGATACCCTTTCTCACAACTCCGACTTTTTTTTTCTTTTCTCTCTTCATATAACCAAGTAACATCTGTGTATACTGCTTATACTTGAGAAAATTTCTCTTTACATCTGCATTGAGTAACAATGTACTTTGCTACGTGGTTGAGCTTGTGTCAAATGATGGCAGCTTATTTTTCTTAGTCGGATAATTTTGTAAATGAAAAATCAGATGTCAGTTATAGAAATGTATTACGGGTTTACTTGGTTTCCTTTTTCTTGTTACTCCCTTGTTTTTCCTTTTCTGTTGTTTAGAATTGATTTGCAAATTTAACGATGTGTATTTGTTTGTTTGAAATATTTGTTCAGGAGGAGTTTTCAAGTTGGAACTATTTTTGCCAGAAGAATATCCAATGGCTGCTCCAAAGGTACTTTGATTTGAAGTCTTTTCAGTATGAAACAAACACAAAGGGTAAAATATTGGGGGAGAGTATGAAATAAAACATTTCGATGGATAGGAGCACTTTTAATTATTGCTTCAGATGTGTGGAGTTTCACTGTTATTTAATAAATGGGTTTTATCTTCACAGTTAATTCGTTCCTTGTTTATATTAAATTTCAACTTAGTTTTGTTCCCTTTGTATTTTTTACTTGCCGTGCAATTTGATGGGATGCCATGCTTTGCTAGTCGCATGTGGTGTATGCCTACAAAAGTGGCGGTGTGTTTTGAGAACTGGATTGAACCTGGGTAGTCTGTTAATGTTGATGTTGTAATTTACCAAGAAGAAACTAGTATTTGGTATGTGCATAGTTAATGCATGTGCATTGGATCTTTAGGATCTTAGAAGGCAGTTCTTAAACTCGCCCAAACTAAAGAAGTTAAATAGCTTAAGTCTTTTGGCCTGTCATGTAGCTAGAAGGGAAAGGAGATGCAATTTGGTAAATATTATCGTTTACATAACACATTTTGACACTGATTCTGATCGCTAATAATTTATGGACTGGAATGTTTCCAATTTTTTCTGAGTACATTGCCAATGTTGATTATGAATGAAAATGTCATAGGTTAATAGTTGTGCTTTAATGGTTTTTCTTTGAGGTAGAACTAATGTAAGACCAATCTGCATATATTCATCTTTGCTAGCAACTGTTATCAATTGTGGCAGTCTGGGATTGAATAGTTCGCTATCCTTTCATAGGATACCAACATGGTACTGGAAACTGTTAAAGACTTATAAGGAAACTGTGTTGTCATTATGTAGTAATTTTACAAATGTGCTAGGATGTGGTTCCAGTTTTGCAGTGTCCAGCACCACACCACCTTCTGCCTTAGCATGCTTCTCCGCATCCTTATATTCCTTATCTTGTGTGTATCAAGTAATTATTTGTTTTTTCCCTTGTATCAGGTTCGATTTCTCACCAAAATTTATCATCCTAACATTGACAAGGTAGGCTGTGCCTTCTCGTTATTTTCTTCCTTTTACTTTCAAAGGTTTAGCAAGTAGTAGTTTCTTGCCTTTTTATGAATGGTTTTCTTAATGCAGCTGGGAAGGATATGCCTTGACATTTTGAAAGACAAATGGAGTCCTGCTCTCCAGATACGAACTGTACTTTTGAGGTATCATTATTTCATATTGCCTTTGTAGTGAATCTATTACCTGTTCTGAGATCAAAACATAAGAAACACCTGTGCGGGTCACAGATTAAAATATCACGACAAACTGTTTGTTCAATTCAAAACAAATTTTGATATAATTCATTCTGGTATAATGTAGAGTTCATGCAGCTGCCATTTCTGCTGCTTTATTCTTATAGTCACTGTACTTGATTTGGGAAAATGTTTTAATGTGATGAATGGTTATATATTTTTTAAGTAAAAATTGAAACTGAATCATCGGCAATGTTGCCATCATTTTCTGCTAGTATTCAGGCACTTTTGAGTGCTCCAAACCCCGACGATCCGCTCTCTGAGAACATCGCCAAACATTGGAAATCGAATGAGGCTGAAGCGGTTGAAACAGGTAATATTGATAGTGTTCCTTTTTATTGGTTTTTCCCTTGCCGAGCTAGAACTGTAATATCAATTAACAATGCTAAAGCTAATTTGTTCTTCCTTATTCCCGCAGCAAAGGAATGGACCCGTTTATATGCAAGTGGTGTGTGATGGCATGGTGCAAGTTTATCATTCCCTCAAATAACATTGTTGCAATGTATGCTATTCACTGTCATTTTAGATGAAAGAATTGGAAGAATTGATATTTGAAATATTGGAGTTTAATGTTCTCAAGCTACCATTTATTGCCTGATAATTGTTTCATCTCTTGGAAGCTTGTGTGAAGATACATTTATCTTCGGTCCCAAGTGTCGACTGGGGATTATTATAGGCACACAAAATATGGATTTCTGGTAATCGATAGTGTGAATAATTCTTTACCAATTTTCTTTCTCGTTTCCTGATGTGTCTTTCTCAGAATCTGCAGGGTGTTCCTTGCCTCGTCGTTGCAAATACTTTGGCATTTTTAACTGAGAGCATTTTGTTCTTCCTCCTTTGCCTTAAAACATCACGTACTAGTAAGCCTAGGCACTGGTCTGAAGTTAATGAGGCCACAACTTCTAAACACTTTCAAGTAGGCAAGTAGCTTGTAGTTCAAATAATTAAGAGTTTATTTTTGTATACGAGATAAACCACATGGAAACTGAGTAGCGCTTTTTGTAGGGTTTTTTAAATGATCGGTAAATGAAAGCATCTCTTATAGTTTTCTCTTATAATAATTTTTAACATTAAGTGATTTTTTTTATAATTTACTAAAAAAGCTAGGCCTTTTTAAATTTTTTAAAAAATCACTTATCATTCGAAATAAACAATGCTAAACGTCACTTAAGCATGATTAAGTCAAGGCTACCACTAATCTTTGTGTGGGCTTTTTTGCTTTTGGATTTCGGCCATGGTAACTACAACTAATATTTAATGAAAGATTGAAAAGTATGTGATGAGGCGGCATGAGTGACACCCTTTTTAAAAAAATTGTATATTAAAAGAAGTAACCCATGCAAGAAAATACAAAAGGATAACCGCATTAATTAATTAATGTCCATTGCCGATAAGAGACCATGGTGGACCTAATCTCCCCAGACTTGAAAACGCCACAAAACGACATGGCTCTGAGAATCTGATTAGATCACAAGAAATCTTAAAGAACTCTGAATTTACTGTTTGAGTTTCACTGTTTCTTTTTTTGTTTCTTCTGTTCATTTACTTTAGATGGATCGTACAAATTGTAAGAACGTTACTTGCGAGGCTTTTACTGCCCTACAGATGTAGGGTAGGGACACGTCACACGTACGTAGGGTACTCCAAAAGTCAAGTACCCTCCACTGTCCTCTTTCTCTTTCTGCTCAACGCCACGCGCGCGACTTTGTTTTTGTGTTTTTTTTTTTTGGTGAATTAGTTTTCTCTTTATTTATAGTATTTTTATTTTTATTAAAGTCTGACCACGTGAGCAGTCATCCGCCGGCCGTTTGACCGCTGCGACGCACCGACCCGGGCGATTCAGACATGTGACCATTGCATTTATATTTATTAATAAATTTTAGAGAACAAATTACAAATCACTACCAAAACATGACTCAATAGTTTGATTATTGGTCCTACTCCTATCCTACCACATATATCCGTGTCTTCATAGCACAGTTTTTTTTTTCATAAATAAAAACATAACACTATATTCTTTTTAATTATGAATTTTTTGTTAAAAGAAAATTTCATTAAAATAGCTTAAAGTGCTTCTTGAAAAAGCGGTCAGAATCACTTTTCGTAATCAAACAAGACATTCTGAAAATGCTCGTGAACAAAGGATCATAAAAGTGCTTTTAGTTACCCGAAATACTAAAATCATAGTAGTCCCTTTGAAATATAAGGTCGATAAGATAAGGACCCTCAACCACCACCAATCTCTCTCCTTTTATTCTTTAATGATAGGCCGGTTTTGTTGTTAATAATAAAGGGGAAGCCCTAATTTGTCACGTACCCAATCAAAGTTATGTTGAATGTAGACTAGACATGGTCCATCAACAACCACAACTCAGAGCAAGCAAGCAGAAGAAGAAGACACTTGAGAATATATATATATATATATATATATATATATATATATATATATATATATATATATATATATATATATATATATATATATATATAAAGAAAAGGTCTATTTCTTGGGTGGTCACTGTCAGCACAAGGCGCCCGACCGACCCAGACATTTGATATTAGCAAGCACCGATTGCTCTTTTTGGACTTTATAATTAGAGAGGTTTTAGTGTTTTTAAGACACAAGCGATATTTAAGAAAGAGGTATTTGAATATAAGACCTTGGGCGCAATCTTGAATTATAGAGGTTTTAGTTAGCTATGCATAAGGGTGTATTGAGTAATTTGCGGCTCTTTGCCCCCACATTATGTCCTCTATGTCAAACACAATCATATAATTAGCTAATTATTATAATAATTAGCAACTCAACAAGCAATTAGTGGTTGCCAAAAGCAGAAGCAAACAAAAGCAATAGTGGCCTTGAGGAGGAAATAAAAATAGAACTTCTTGCAAACAACGTACATTTCTTTTACAATATCTTATATAAATCATGATGTAAAAACAGAGGCATTATTGATGTATGCAAAATATTTCTCCACGAAAGGACATGTACTTGAGAAGAAAGGGAATTGAATAGTTTCAACTACCAAGTCCATCCACCCACTTAATAAGAAAACCAACCTTGAAGCTTCATTAAAAACTCACTTACTTTACCCCTGTCAACAAGTCGACAATTCCCATTATGGAAACCCAAAAAACTGAACTACCAAATCAGTCCACACCGACAATCAAAAGATGGTTACTGCTCTGTCAGCCTGCAATCTGTAGCCATCACAAATTTCACCCTCACCAGTCACCATTTACATTGCCAGCTGAGAAGAACTTGCATGTCACAAGAATATCACTATTTTGCTATCATCATCCAAGCGAAATTGGATGGGGATAGCAAAACAGTGTAATATACAAGTTTTTCTCCAGCTACTGAAGGGTTATAGCATTAAGGCTTAGTTTTTGATACTCCCTAGAATTCTGAGTTTTGCTTAAAACTAATCAACACAAGTTTAATCTCACTAACCAAAACACACTTGTGCAAAAGGATAAAAGTACATTAACTCAAGGCCATACATAATTGAAGGTGCAAATTCAAGGTTAGATAAGAACATGATATAGAATGGAAAATATGTGCAACGACAAGAACAGAAAAATAGAAATTTTTATTGTTGAATAATTGGTTTGAGAAAAGAAACAACAATAATAACATATTCATCCTTCCTTCACTAACCCAGTAAGTACCCACCGGACATCCAATCTCCCTCATGACTTCCATTGTTTTGTATATATCACATATATACATGTACAGATCCTCTGCTACAGCCAGCCAGCCAGCTCTCTCTCTCTCCCTCTCACTGAGACACAGACTCTCTCTCTCTCTCTCTCTCTCTCTCTCTCTCTCTCTCTCTCAAATAAAACTAAAAGGCCAATTTAAACAATTGTACACAGTTATCATTTTTTTTTTTTTGGAAGTGGGGATACAGGAACCAGGCCGGCCTACATGAGAATGAAAATGAAAAAAGTTCAAAGATATGGTAAAAAGGAAAAAAGGAGAAAAGGAGAAAGGAGGAAGAAAGTGGAACCAGAGAGCAATGAGGAATGAATGAATAAATAAAAACTGAAGAAGGAACTAAGCTACCTCTCTGGGATCCACTGGCATTGGTCGCTAACGAGATTATTTGGTGATTCTGATTATGTCACAGGTATCTTGTAAAGCTTATATGGTGGGAGGCAGAAAGGAAGGGCTGTAGGAGAGTTCCTAACAAACTGGGGGCCGGGGAGCAACAAGAAAAACTCAAAACTACGGCAGAGCAGCAGAATTACAGTACAGTCCTGATTCTAGAAGCTATAATGCCTGACCGAGTGTTCCAACATTTGACGGCTGGGGCGCACCATTTCCTTCACTCGGCTACCATTTTTGTAAATCTTGAATGTTGGTACAATCCTCACATTTTCAGTGTTTGCAACTGCTTGGTTTTCTTCAATGTCAACCTATGATGCATCACCATAATAAGTACATAAATTTCCTTCTCTTAAATATACTAACATACCAAGTACCAGAGCATGCAAAGCGTAGTCAAACTAGAATACGATGCATTATATCAGTCAGTAATTTACCTTGAGGAAATTTATGGATGGGTACCGGCCACAAAGTGTGTCCAGAAAAGGAGATATTTGCTTGCATTGGAAATCAGAGGCTGCTTTAAAATGGACCACAGAGACACCTGTACATATGACTTTTAGGCACTTGTGCAATGATGTAGTGTAAAAATAAGAAGGTGAGAGACCTGTAGATGGGGAGGCCTACCTGGTAAAGCCATTGCAGCTCTGAACTGCTCAAGACCTAATATTTCTTCTACTTCACCGCCAAACTTCATATTATAAACTTCTTCCCCGCGGGATTTTTTTAATGCAACTTGAGCATGAAAAAAAGATTCAGCAACTTCATTGTCGTCAGGAAGCTCCTTCCTCAAGACCTCATAATCTCTAACAGCATCTACCCATCTTTCTAGCTGTAATACACAAAAATCTAACAAACTAAATTGCACATTTTTTACAAAAGGAAAAATACATAAAGAAAAAGGAAAATAAAATGATTGAGGTTTAGAAATGCATTTTACCTTGCTGTTTGAGGCAGCCCTTCTAAGTAGGGCTTTTGTGTAATTGGGTTTAATACATAGGGCCTGGTTGCAGTCTTCAACGGATCGCTCCCACATCCCAAGTTTAAACCAACAAGCTGCTCTGTTGCAAAATAGAACAGAGTTTGAAGGATCAAGCCTCAGACCATCTCCGTATGCTGAGCAAGCTTCAGTGAACCTTTCGGACTTGAAGAGATCATTGCCTCGGGCACGGGCTCTCACAACCATACGCACATTATTAAGCAGCACTGCAGCTTCAATGTTCCGAGGATCAATCAGCCCAGCTTTCTCAGCAGCAGTAACTGCATTCTCAAACCTGCAACATCCATCATCTATCCTCACTCTCCACAAAAACTTAACCATCTTATTTCTGATGAAGCCTAGAATCTTTGAACTCACCTTCCAAATGCCATCTCAATTTGGGCCACGACAAAGTAACTGTAAGCTTCAGAAAGCATCCCAAAGAACTTAGATTGTGAGGGGTTGGTCTCTAATTTGGGTGTGTTTGATAAGACTAATTCAGCATCATCAATTTGGTGGAGCTTCAAAAGTGCTTCCGCTCTACACATACAGAGCTGTAAATTCAATTTGAACAAGTTCAGCATTTCGCTACACTTTCCATTGCAACAAATCATCCAATCCTGGTAGACAAAACTTATAGAAACTTAGAGATTAATATTTACCTGAGGAGAAAAGTCAGCTCCAGAAGCA